TGTATGCATGCACCCTAAACCCTGCATTCCTAGCCAAAGATGGCGTGGGGAGTGACAGGAATTCCAACTCCACCACCTGTGCTCTCTATTGAGGCACACAATACCATGACATGTTTATACTGGCCTCTTTTCCAATGGAAGCCAGCCAAAACATCTCCCCATCTGCAATGCTACATGATGTGGGATGGGGGCAAAATTTCCTGGCTCTTCTGAAATTAATGATTTTTTAACGGCAATCCTAGATCCACTTACTAGGAAGTAAGCCCCCATGAAGCCAGCAAGGTTTGCCAGAAACATGGCTAGCATGAAATAGCATTATACCATTCAACATTCTGCCACCACCACCACTACCACTCACTGGGTTCTGATTTCAGGAACAATCTACTAAGAAGTACTTCTGAATGTGCATGTTCTAAAGTGACTCCCATTCATGTCCTGGGTGCCCATGCAGGAGAATTTTGTGTTTCATGGTAACTGTTCCCAATAAATGTTTGCCCCATGAGTTGTAAAGTTTCCCTACACACTTCAGAGGAGTACCTGGCAATGTTCACATTCCAGTAGAGGATCCATTACTAGCATCTATAACCTCTCACAGTTTCTCTTTGCCATCTCACCTTGTTCACAGGATAAAGGATAAAGAGACAGGACAACATCTTGATTTGTTTTGCATACTTCTAGTATGCTGAATGGATCGAAGCTGAGGAAAAGGGGAAGTGAACAGGCAACTGGGATCAGAAATGAAAAGATGGGGCCAGTCAGCATTACTCCCTCCATTTTTGGAGCTGGATCTGCTTTCAGTATTTTCAGTGCTTTCAAGCACTGATAAATTAAAACTTCTTTATTACCGAATTGGGAGAAAACTTCCATAGTGTGCAAATCCGATTAACAAAATGATGCATGAAGAATATTCTTTGCATAACCAATGTGAAGGGAGAATCTAGGCTTTTATTTCCCAACTTATACTAAGGGAAGCCAGAAAATCAGCTGGAAATCTCACTTTCTTTTTATGCCAGCATTTCATTTGCTATAAAATTCCTTCCAGCTAATAAAGTAAATGAAAAATAATTTGGCTTTCTCCTATAGGAAAATCTGGAAATCATAGAAAGGGATATAGTTGAGGGAAGCAGCACCAATGAAAAACTGTTTTTGTGAGGGGTGTAGCAGCAGTTCAAAACACCTTGCAGTCTTTCTGCTACTAGGCTACACTTCATACAGAACTGACTTTCCATGGGAACTTATCCCAGGTGTGCATTTCTGAGAAAAGAGACTGATAATCAGCAGCTGTAAACCACAACACAGTTGGATGGCTGCTATTACTTCCAACTTTGAAATATTAACACCTACTGTATTTTTCCTTTGGCTTTGATCCCACAAATAAAATCATGTATGTTGATTTTAATGGGGCTCCCTAAGGCTCCCTGGAGAGAGTGGCTACCTGCAGAGATTTTATTTATTCTTTCCCCCCATATTCCAGCAAATGTAGCATTCTTACACATGACACACGGGAATCACTGAACAGTTCAGCTCTGATCTGTTCGCCAGTGAGGACACCAATTATTTACTTTGTGAAGGAGAAAACAGCTTAGATGTAAAATCTAGAATTTTTTTAGGGTGGTACATTTTAATTTTCTACCCCAGTGGCTAGACAGATTGGAATGAGAGGTAACAAAAAGAGCATACATGTCAACATATATATTGATATAAAAAATGGCCATAACTTAATTGGCAACACCTGTTATGGGCACTGGAGTGGTATAACAAGCAGGTCCTGCCACTGTGCAATCTCCCTGTCTATCAATGAAAAACTCCTACCTCAGCCCTTCTACTGGGATGCCCATGGAATGGCAAGAAAACTGGCAGGTTCACCTGGGTGAAAGCCACTGTGTGACTACCAGGAAGTGATCCAACCTTCAAGCTGGACCTGAACCTGGCCATACTCACTCCAAGGCCCCTTAAGGATATCCAACTCAGGGAGATGGACACATGGACCACACTTCCTTATAACAGGATACATCTGAATGCCTAATTATTGCTAGAGGTAAGCAAGGGGGAAATCTCATTATCTCCTGCCAAATCTCTTACAGCTGAGACTGACATCAGCTTACCTGGAGCACTGTATCTGTCCCCAGTTAGATGCATGCATACTATCTGGTAGAATAGCACTTCCACCTTGGATAAAATATGAAAGGAAGGCAAGCCAAGCTTACCCTACAGATTAGGATGGCCAGTAAAATACTTCAGCTTTTTTAGTGTACTCTTTAATCCTCAAGGTCTTCAATTTGTTACCAAGTAAACATCCCAATGAACACATCTGTATGCCTACATTAGTTGAGTTGCTGGATCCTCAGTCTTATCTTGAGTGAGGGAAGCCCCTAGTTCATCAGCAAGGATATAAAAGAGGCTAAGAGGACTGCATGAGTGTTGCTGCCAGTTGGGCTGGTCATTAGGAAATTATCCAGGTAATGCATTATGTAAGGATAGGCTAAGCTATCCTTCATTATCTATTCTAGTAAGGAACTGAAGACCTAAAACTTCACAGGATATTGAGCAGCCTATAGGCATGGCTTTGCCTATACATAATGCTCCACTGAACTTAAAGCTCACAAGGCAGAAGTTGAAGATATGAATCAGTAGTAACAGAAAAGCTGATTAAATATCACAGAATAAAACAATAAAAGACACAATCCTGCCAAAGACATACAATCTATTTTTTAAAAGGAGATTTAATGTAATTTAATTTTTTAAATAGGAGATGTGATCCCAAAGGATGACTCATTGCTGTATATCCAGCTATAGGAACATAGCTAGATACTTCTCTCCTCCCTCACTCTGCATCAGTCAGTAAATTGGCATGGGGAGGTTAAAGGATGGTTAGCAGGGGTAAGTGGAGACAAGTGTCATAGTCCTGTCTATGCAGAATGTTATGATATATCTCCTGATCCAGGATTTCTACAATGCTAACGTTTTTTATTTTTAAAAAGTTGTCCTTACAATAATGTTTTGAAATGAAAACAGCTATCTGGAGCAATATTAAAATATCATTGGCACATTATGCTTCTGAGTTAAAATGTTTTCAGATTGCATAATATCAGAAGCAACTTTTCCTTCATCTCCTTTTATTTATGAAACTGTGCCACTTACTTGAAATCTGAATGATTACGATAGAGTAAGCCCTCAAAGCAAAGTACACATGATTTACTTCTTTGTGGATAAGCAAGACCATGGCTTTGTTCCTGCAGTAATATAGTGATAAATCACTTTTGCTGAATAAACAGTTTCCATGGCATGTGCAGTATCTTGGGGAGTCACTGTTTAAACAAAAAATACAGTTGCAGAAATGTTATAGTTTAACAGTGCATTCTGCTTTTAATATCTCCAAATTATGTGCCACATGACATCTCTATCTGTGAACTGCACAAAATAAATTCAATTGCTGTAGTACAGAATAACACAACAGAGGAGATTATAGGGATGGATTTGCCATCCTGGTTTACTTGCTAATAATGATAATATTTAATATTTTTGCAGTACTTCACAATATTTCACATTAATTGTATAACAGCCAGGTCCCATGAATGAATACTTGGTAGTAAGATTTTGAAAACACAGCAGGGCATACTTCTGAGTAAATATGTGCAGGATTATGTGGCTATTTTTAAAACCATCTTGTAAAACATGTATTTTCATCATGAAATTTCAGTAGTAGATCTTGAAAAGGGCACTTTTTGATGTTTTCGACCCCAAAATCCTACTGTCTACACAAAACAGCTGTGCTAACTACGGCCTGTTATGAGCCATACACCCAGTTTCAGTGCCCGAACATAAATGTGTACTGAAACACAAAATATGGGTTCCAGTACCAGTTCATATCATCAAATGTCATGGTTAGATGATAGTATTAGAGTACTAGTAATCCTTGATATGTACAGCATTTCAATCCCAGATCTTGGGGATGTTCCTAAAGAATTTTCTATACTGTTTCCAAAACTAGTAGAAAGTGACAGTCTAGAATGTCTCTTGGTTGGACTTATGCAGGGGTCTGCTGCTTCACTCCACAGATTAGCCTGTTTGCCTAATTCTGCCAACCACTACTCAGTGTCCATCCAATGCCCACCAAGCTGCCTTTCAACTCTGAACTTTAGATTTTGTCTTCCCTTTGTTTGCATTATTGAATGCAGCAGCACTGTAGCTATGAATCTCTGAGATGCTCTTTAGGTCTTTAGCATGATGCCCCTAAGTATGTAGACTATGCCCGTCTGGAAATGGTTTCTCATTTAGCTGGTTCCCCTGCACTCCAAATCATTTGTTCCCAGTGGCACATGGCCAGGAGGAGAAGGGGCCTGCCTGCATAGACATCCCTCCACATTATCTCAGCACAAAACAACACACCAACAACACCTTGACAAAATACAGACCTGTGAGTAACACCATCTTTTTCTAAACATTTTTCTCCAGGATGATTTGTAACACCCTTCCCTGATGAAGAAGCCAATGGAGCTTCGAAAGCTTGTATCATGTATTTTGTGCATTTTGGTTGACCAAATAAAGGTATCACCATTTTGTGGATTTTGGATGTTACTGTCCTTTGCTATATGTTCAACATGGCTATCCCAGAATATGTTTCCTTTGATTTAGCTGCCTGTTATATTCTTTTTTTTTTTATGAAATACCTTAACCCATCCTAACTCCAGTACTTTAAATGATTCTTCTTTGGTGTAGTTTTTTTTAATGTAAAGTGTGGAGATGTTTTATGGGCTCTAGGGAAATACTCTTTATACCAGGGTGACAGAGCAAGGACAAAAATGGCATGACTTGGACAAATTAAGCTCTCAACTGAGGTGGTTAATGTTGCATGCCTTCAAGTCATTTCTGACTTATGGCAACCCTAAGGTGAATTTGTCACAGGGTTTTCTTGGCAGAATTTGTTCAGAAGGGTTTTCCCCTCATGTTCCTGTGAAAGAGAGAGTATGATTTGACCAAGGTCACCCAGTAGGTTTTCATGGCAGATCAGGGATTTAAACCCTGATCTCCCGGTGTCCTAGTCCAACACACAAGCCACTATGCCAAGCTGGCTCTCAACTGAGTTAACAGGCTTTTAAAAATAGTAAAAGGATAAAAAAAGAAGCTTAGATGGGATGTAATATGGATAGACAGATGTACATCCACCTAAAGCTACTGCCAACCAATAGAAAATCCTCAGAAACATACAATGGGCTGTATGGCTAAGTGCAAATACTTTCATTGATGTGTGCCTTCAAGTCTTTTCCAACTTATCATGGGGTTTGCTTTGCAACATTTGTTCAGAGGACGTCTCCCATTGCTTTTCCCTAAGCCTGAGAGCATGTGGCCTGTGCCCAAGGTCACTCAGTGGGTTTCATGGCCAAGTTGGGAATCAAATCCTAATATCCAGAGTCATAGTCCAACATTCAAACCACTATGCCACACTGGATACTACTCAGTTGAAAAATTCACCAGGGCTATACAGAATGAAGCAAGAGGTGTATGTGGGGATATATTTTTTTTGCCCCCTGTGAAAAGTGTCTCTCTTTTGGTGACCTTTTTGGGGAAAGAAATTGACTACAAGGGAAAGCATGTGTATTTTCATATTGAGAACAGAAAGCACTGCCTTTGCTTTATATTGCTTTTTAAAAATCCACAGAGACATGAGTCTGGTTAGCTAGGTTCATGTGGAAGAAAGAGAAGGGGTGTAGCAGGGTGAGGGTATTGGCCCTTCAAATGAGAATGCTGCCACTCCCCAATGAATTTTTCTTTCATTCCCACATTTCTAGCATTGCAGAGAGTGAATAGCATTTATTCCTAGAATTTATACCTGCTGTGCTTGCATTCCCTTGGTAACATAGCCTGCCCCTTTTCTTTTAGTGCATCAACTCTGTTTCTAAATGCTCAGCTGATGGTTTAAATTACTGCAATGCTACACATTTAGGGAATGAAATAATATTTTATGGGGGGGCAGAATCCTTATTATGTCCTCATTTTGGCCCTGATGTAGCTATATCCCTACCTCATGTAGTTTTAAAATAGTGCTGAATTTCATATAATTTATTAAGAAAATATGGTGCAGTTTTAGATTTTGATATATAACAGCAAGCTCTATATGGGAAAAGAATGTATATAAACCAAGAGGAGAAATTTGATTTACAGTGGTACCTGCTGGGGTACCCGCTGGGGTTTTGGTTCTAGGACACCCTGTGGATATCAAAATCTGTGGATGCTCAAGTCCCATTAAATAAAATTGTGTAGTAAAATGGTGTGCCTTCTATAAAATGGCAAAATCAAGGTTTGTGTTTGGACGTTATTTTTTTATTAAATTTATTAAAACAAACACATTCAAATAAACATTACATACAAAAACAAACATAATACTTCACAAATATGTTTGTTTGTTTGCTTTTGGGAAGTTACTATTATTTTATTAAGATTTTCAAGCTGTGGATGGTTGAATCTATGGATAAAGAATCCATGAATATGGAGGGCTGACTGTTTAAGAACTGCAGTCAGTGATGTGCAGAAGGTTGACTGGGGTGGGGAGGAGGGGTTTATTGTGTGTCTAGTTGTCAGACTTGAGCAAATTCAGAAACTCTGTATATCAGTAAGTCCAGTGAGTTGAACCAACAAGAAGTTTATGAGAAAACATAGTCAGAAATTCACCAGTCAGTGTTTAAGACAGAACTGCCTCCACCAAGCCAAATGATATCTTAAAATACTCCAAACCGTTAAACTCCACTCAACATCCTTGGTGCCAAAACCAGCACCCACCTCCAATTCCCATGTCTATTTCCCCTATCAAGCCAGCCCCTTTTTCCAAATCTTCTCACCAGCGCTCTCTCTCTTCAGCACTGGCATTCCATCCAACCCCCCTCCTTTCAGTTATATCCAGACACCAACTCTCCGCATCCCACAGCTTACACATTCCAAAGACCTAATTTTCTCAAAACTATCCTAGCCCGGTAATAATCCCAACCCCCATACCAACTAACCCATTTGCTATGACTACTAACATACCCACAATCCCCTATAATCAAATACAACTATTGTATTATTAAAACATTTAACCCAACAACAGAATAAAAACTTGACAGAATCCATGCACTCAGGCATGGTTCTGATACTAGTGTTGTTCTCTTATTTCCCCCCTTTTCTTTGTCTTTTATTGTCCTTGTGGAATTGTGAACTGGGTTTTTTTGTTATATTTTTTTATAATAATTAAATTGCAATAAAATTGATAATTAAAAATAGTGTTGAATCCGCTTGTAAGATGGACACCAAATACCAATACGCAGCCATGCACAAGGCAAGCATTTGAGGTGTAAGCATTTCAGGCTCTCCCAAAGGTCCTGTTTAGGCTAACAACAAATCCAGACTTATCAATGGAGTCAATTTAGCAGTGAGTCATTCTAATAATGTGACTGGAAATTAGGGGATACATGTAGAAACCAGTTTGTACTGCTGAAATTAAGAATTAAGCTGTCAAGATTTCTGCAATCTGATAGTAACTAACCTGGGGCTGGGGGGGGATGTCCTTGCTGAATCTAACAGGACTTACTTCCCAGTAGACATGTATAGGAGTGTACTCTTATATAGTGTAAGACATCTTCTCTTGGCAAAGCAATAACTCTCTTTTGTTTATGTTCATTTTCTTCTAACTAGCATGAGCCAGTTTCTTGGCATTAAAACCATGGACAAAACAACCAGGGAGGTCTGCAAGATACAGATAATTATTTCTACCCTGAAAAGATTTTCACCTCTTCAAGAACTGGAGGTGTAAATAACTAGACTCTGGCTTTCCAACCAAACATGCATTTTTTTTTTATCTTCCCATAAATCTTATGTGTCCTTCACATACACAAGTTATCCATCCGTTATCTTCAAATGGATGTCTTGGCATGCTGAAAACAGCTAAGGAGAGGATTGAATCACTTGCATGCACAAAGATCTGATCATTGAAAGGAATTCTCAAAAGTGTTCTAAGATTGTATAGGCTCCTCAGTTGTTTAGCAGGATTGCTCAGTGATGAGATTAATTATGTAGACTGTTTTCTCCAATGCAAGCTTTCCTGTCACTTCTCATCTTCCACAGCAAAGTACAGCTTACAGGGAAGGAAAGAGTATGTTATAGTTTACTTTGGTAAAGTGGGGCATCATTATGTAGCCACCAGAATGTCCTTACAATCTTCTGAAATGCAGAAGAGTGGATGTTTAGAGTTCTTCAGCAGAAGAATGAGAAAGAGTCCCTAAAGGTGGAAATCCTCATTTGTTATGCAATGAGGGTGAATCTGTTATAGTCACTTGAGCAGAGATATCAACTTTTGGTGTTTCTGAGGTTTCACACAAGTTCCTGGACTCTAGAGTAAGCCAGAGCAATGAATGCTTTGTAGGTCAGCCTGTTCACTGAGACCTGACTGACTACCCATAGGTTTATCCAAAAGAAACTGCTCCCACTACCTACTGAAACTAAGAACAGTAGGATTCTCTTTAAATATGCTTTATTATGAATAAATCATCAGGAATAGATGATATTCCATTTTGATTGCTACAATGCACACAAACAGAATCAACTCTAGTGCTAACTAATATAAGCCAACAAATGTGGAAAATAAAACAGTGGCCAACAGACTGGAAACTATCAATATACATCCCCATCCACAAAAAAGGAGACACACAAGACTGCACCAATGATAGGACCATAGCATTAATCTCCCATGCAAGCAAAATTCTGCTCAAAATTCTGTAACATAGACTGCATTCATACATGGAGAGGGAAATTTCAGAGGTGAAAGTGGGGTTCAGGAAAGGAAGAGGCACTAGAGATCACATTGTAAACAAACAATGGTCAATGGAGTGCACCAAGGAATTCCAGAAGAACATCTCCATGTGTCCCATAAATCTTTTTTAAAGCAAAGCCTTTGACTGCATAGATCAAAAACAATGGAATGCTCTTAAAAGACATGGGAATGCCACTACATCTGATAGTCCTGATGAGAAATCTGTACTCAGGACAAAAGACTATTGTTAGAACAGAGTGTGAGGAAACAGAATGTTTCCCATTTGGTAAGAGTGTCAGTCAAAACTACATTCTATCACCCTACTTGTTCAACTTGTATGCAGAAAATATAAGAAAAGCAGGGTTAGACTCAGAAGAAGTAGGTGTGAAGATAAGAGGAACATAAACAATCTAAGCTATGTGGACAACATTACTAGTAGTGGGGGGAAATACAGACTGGGACATTTACTAAAGAAGTTCAAAGATGAAGGTGCAAAAGCAGATTTAATGCACAACATAAAGAAAACAAAAATAATGACCACAGAAGAAATACATAAATTCTACATAGATAATGAGGAGATGAAATAGTAAAAGTTCCCATACCTGGATCAAACACTGATAAGAATGGAGACTGCAGTCAAGAAATCAGGAGAAAACTAGGAATGGGAAGAGCAATTATTAAAGAACTAGACAAGATCCTAAAGTGCGAAGACTAAAATAAGAATTTTCCGAGCCATAGTATTCCCCACCACCATGTATGGATTTGAAAGCTAGACAGTGAAGAAAATGAATAGGAAGAGTATCAACTCATTTGAGATGTTGTGCTGGAGAAGATGTTGAGGATACTGTGGACAGGCAAAAAGACAAACAGATAGGTCCTTGAACAGCTCAAGCATGAAATCTCCTTGGAAGTTGATGATCTCATTGAAGCTGTTGTACTTTGGCCACATCATGAGATGGCTCAACTCATTAGAAAATACAATAATGCTAGGGAAAATATAGGGAAATAGAAAGAGGGCCTTTACAGACTGCCAGAAGTAATGCAGCTTGAGGCCACTTTAACTGTCCTGGCTCAGTGCTAGGGAATCATGGGAACTGTAGTTTATTGTGGCATCAGAGCTCTCTGACAGAGAAGGCTTAATGTCTCAGAAAAAAACTACAATTCCCATGATTCCCTAGCATTGAGTCAGGGCAGTTAAAGTGGTCTCAAGATGGATTATTTCTGGCAGTTTGTAAAGGCCCAGAGAGGAAGGCCACATGTCAGATGGATAGACTCAATCAGAGAGGTCACA